CTGCATGGAGCCCAGGGGCAGTGTGGGCAGCGGTGCTTCGCGAGCACCCGCGAAGTATTGCACCTGCTCCACGCGGGCCATGGTGGTCGTTGTCGTTGGGGATGGTGTTGTGCTCTCCTGGGCTTTTTAGGTGGCCAGGGAGAAAAAGTACAAACTGTTTATGAAGAATGGTTCCCTGAAGAAAAAAGTATTAAAGTATGGTACTCCCAAGCCCAGTCTCGCTTGTTGTTGTTGTAGTCGTTGGGTGTGCCTCGGTCGCAGCGAGATCCCAAAAGTTCCACAGCTCCACATCGCTTTCCGAGGCCCAGGCCAAGGCGTAGACGCGTTCGCAGTGCTCCTTGTGCCGCGGAAACCAAGCGCAACTCGTGTGTGGCGAAAGACGTCAGAGCAGATGAGAAGCTAGATTTACGCAAGGTTTCCCGTTCTAGATTGTATAGCCCTTCGACATAGAACCCTCACTAATATGCAGAGCCCTTCAACAAAACCCCTGGAAGCCACGGCGCTTGTAGCAGATTCTTACTGCCCCAATAAGCCTCAGAAACAAAAGCTTAAACTTTCCGATTCCTACTGAACTATAAGAGCCCAACAAGTTTAAAGGTTAGATATTGGGGATCTAAGGTAGATCCCTTTAAAGGAACCCTGTAAACCCCTATAGAACCTATGGATACGGTATCGGGGATATGAGAGCTCGCTCCCACGGCTTCTCGTCTCCGCTCCTTCTCCTCGTAGAAAGGCTGGAGCATCCGGGAGAGGTAAAAGTCCTCCGGGCGCAGAAAAGTCGGTAGGTCGGTAGATCGGTAGATTTAGGGTTTAGGGTTTAGGGTAGGTAGGAGGGTATGTATCTGTCGATTCTGCACATCCAAAATGCCATGCATACATGATACATGTATACAGCCATCCATGCATGCATACATTTACGCACATACATAACCGAGCATCAAAGCAAACGTGCGGGCGAAGCGCCTGGTAGAACAGAGAGTGGTCGTCCAGGTGCAGCCAGAACTCAGTATCCTGATGACACATCGAGCAAGCCTGAAGCTCTGAACTTTCAGATTCACGAGATTCGTCAACAAAACTTAAAACACACGGCCCTCTCGAATGTTGAACACATGTAGCATAAACACGCACCCAAAAACCTGGACCACTCACTGCATCTCGCTCAGCCCAGGACCATCAGCTGCGTCAGGAGATTCAAAGATCTGGCCTTTGGGGTTCAGGGTTTGCAGCTTTTTGGCTCACTGCTTTGGCAGAAGGAGCCCTGGCAGACAACATGCTGCAGAAGCATGTGCAAGGTGGAGACAAGCCAAACCATCCTAAAACCTCAAACCCTACAGCCTAAACCCTAAAACCCTAAACTCTACAGCCTAAACCCTGAAACAACCAAACCCAAGGCCCTACCATCTGCATCTCTCAAGTGCCGCCCTTGCCTGGCCCTTCTCTTCGGGCTCCTTGAAAACGAAAGAGCAATGGGAGCTTCGGTTGCCCGCCTGGATGTGGCAGTGGGTCGTTTAGGGTCTGGAGATTTAGGTTTAGGGTTTTGGGGCTTAGGGCTTTTGGGTTTAGGGTTTAGGGGCTTAGGGCTGTTGGGTTTAGGGGGCTTAGGGTGAATTGTCTAGGAGTAAGGTTTGGGGGTGGGGAGATTCCGGACTGGGATTTCGGCGTGCGGATCGCATCAGGTCGGAGCAGTAAAGGATGAAAAACGAAGGTTCGCGAAGCGTAGCTCGCGAAGCCTGGCTCGACTTTTCACGCTACTTTAGGGGCCTTGGTAAGTAGAATATGGATTTTGGGGTTATAGCATAGTCAGTACAATTACAGCAAGGACATCCAAGGAATAATACTCGGTATTACGACTATTCTCCTCTTTTTTAAATCACGAATGTATGAACCCAAAAAGGTCAAAGGCTACCCGTAAACCCTTATAGTACCCTTATAGATCCCTTAGAGGAACCCCTTATAAGTACCCACAAAAAGGGTTAAAGGGCTCAGGGCAGGAACCCGAAACCCTAAACCCACTGCCGGCTGCCGGGAACCGCATCCGCAGTCCCAAGGCCCCTCGGTGAGGCAGGGTACCAAGGCACCGAATACCTTAACCCTGGATAACCTACCTGTTTAGGGTTTAGGGGCTCCTTGTTATGATTTCCTTAATACAAGTCCCCAAAACGGTAGGTTATTCGGGGTTAAGGTAGAGGTTGATTCCAAACACGAGGATTTGGAGTCATAGGGGCCGGAAAGTTTCAGTAACAGCATCCCCTTCGGAAGCCTCCCCCCCGCTTTCCCGCGAAAAAAACAGAGACACAGCTGGGCCTCGGCAGTGCTGGAGCGCTTGCCTTAGCGTGCGACGGCAGGCGCCCGGTAGGGTCTCTCGGTTTAGGCTTGGACCCTGGAGGATGTGTAAGGGTGCCAAGCATCAAGTAGCAGCTCATAGGAGTGATGTTGACAAGGTCCGTCGAGAGGCGCAGTAACAAGTCATAACAATATCCATAGTAGTTAGTTGTGACAGTAGTAAAAATAATAGTAGCAGTAACAACAAGAATTCTAAACTCCCATCTCAGTTTGTTGTTGTAGTCAGGACATGTGCTGCACGCCACAAGGGTTACAGTTTTCTGGGTTTGGGGAGTGGCAGCCTTTGCATCTCGATCATTGAGGACCTTAGAACCCTAAGAGCCGTAAACCCTAAACCTAAGCCCTTTGTGTGAGGTCCACACAGCCTGGGAAGAATGCCAGCATCTGCTCGCGAGCCTCCTTGCTGGTGGGCCTGAGGCTGCTTTCAACCCGAGTCCACAGTTTAGGGTTTAGGGATGGTATTAAGACTTTAAGTTTCTGTTCCTGCTTGGGTCGAACAAATGCAACATGTGAAGCAATTATGACGAAGGGTAGACGGGATGTTGGGTTTAGGGCTTAGGGTTTCCCTTCGGGGCCGGGGTTTCAGGAAGACAGACGGGGTGCTTCTTGCCCGGATGTTACGAATCAATCGATCTTGGGGGGGGTCCCCTCTTCCTCAAAAGCTGAATATAGGGGCATCAAGGATTAGAACAGGGTTTTGGGGCCCATTCTACTATGATCTTATGTATAAGGAACCCCCACAATAGTCTTGGCGATTATGAAGGCCCCAGAAGTAGACATCTCAAAGATGGAGGCGTCGATCGCAAGGCCATTCGGGGCTTTGCAAAGCCAAGTCTGTGCCGAGGCGAGCACCCAGGTCACGTAGGCTTTAGGGCTTAGGGCTTAGGGCTTAGAGCTCAAGGCTTAGGGTTTAGGGTTTAGGATTTAGGGTTTAGGGCTTAGAGCTCAAGGCTTAGGGTTGAACTGTGAGACATCATGACATCCACGTACTTTCCAGCTGTTCCCATGCCCTCGCGCCCAGATAACACCGACGACAGCTCTTGACACACGCTCTTGACATGAATCCAAGACTCGCAGTGGCCTGACCGATAAGCCTCCAACACACACACACACACACACACACACACACTCATATATATATATATATATACAACTAAGACGCGCGCGCCAAAACAGACACACACACACACAGAGACAGAGATAGAGACGGAGTCCGAGATCCGAGACAGAGACAGAGAGACACACACACACATCCATAAATATATATATATATACACACATACATACATACATACATACATACATACATACATACATACATACAACATCCTATACTTGAAGGACCACTGAGGAAGCAGGTTACAAGTGGGCACTTCACCCTAGCCAACACCCGACCTTCGAAACCCCCAACAAACCCCAGCAAAGCCTTTCCCGCTGAGTTTCACTATCCTTCAAGTCAACCCTCAAACCAGTTTGTGTAAACTCGTAGAGAAGTCCGATGCTAAACTTGCAAAACCCTTCTAAAACTCACTACATAAGTGCCTGTAGACCCGTGATAAATATTCATTGCTTATAACCAGTGCGTTTGTAGAATGACCAAAAACAAGTTTTCCGGCACCCCAGCAATAATCCTTCCGAAAGACACCCCACGATCGAAGGGCAACCTCTGTCGGACAAATCACAGCTACCCCAGCCGGAACCTTTACGAAACCAAAAATGTTTCAAGAATCCTAAACCATAAACCGCAACAACCACAACAGCAACAACAACAACAACAACAGCAGCAGCAGCAGCAGCGCTGCCACCACTAGCACGACCACGACCACCACGACCTCGACCACGACGACCTCGACGACGACGACCTCGACGACGGCGACCACGGCGACGACTGCGACTACGACGACGCCAACAGCAAGGGCTCCCTGTGTTCCAGGGCTCCGGCCCTGTCAGGGTGCCGTTGAGGGCCTCCGACCTGGAGACTGAAAAGGCCTTAATGGATGGGTTTAGGGGGAGGTTCAGGGTTTAGCTTCGGGCCCTAAAAGGTTTAATAGGGTTTTTTGGGGGGCACAGAATGCTGTACTTCTGCCAAACGAAGAACCCTTGAGGACTTGGGCCTTTAAAGGTTTTGGAGCCTCGAGGTTTGGGTGTTTGTGGAGGTTTTGCGGGCCCAAGGTGTCGGAGGCTGGTAATTCGAGGTGGGGTATGAGGCTTTGCCTGTTTTTCGGGAGGGTTGAGACAGTCGGGTTGGGTGGCTTTTCCATCTTTAATGGGGAAGTGATCGGAACTACACAGGAAAATGATGCTAAGCCCTGTGTCCGGTTTGTCAGGCCTTGCGTCGCAGCTGCAAGGCTTTCGGGACTCGCAGGGTGCGGGCTTCGGGAAGACATGGATACATCCGCGTGTTACCGTTGTCGTTGTTCTTGTCGCTAGTCTTGCCATGGCATGCAAGCCTTGAGCGCTTCCAAATTCCAAGCCACGTTTTTAGCACCCGCGAGCAGTCCGAATATGGTCCGCGGACCAGTTTCTTGGACCCCATGGCGAATTCGGAGTGTCTTGTGCATCCTGCACAGCTTATAAGGACTGGAAGTCAACTGATTGCAACATATCAGCACCACATGGAGCACGCTTGCCCTGACCCCACTGCTGCAGCACTGGGGCTAGCGGGTGCTCTGCGATGCCTGCGACGACTCCAGTATGGACTCAAGTGCAGCGTCGTCGGGCCTCTTGCCCTGCTGCAAGACGTCCAACACATCTTTGCTGAAAATCTTCTGCAACGCTTCCGGGCTGTTGATCACTTCAGCTGCCGCCGGATTCATGGCTGCGAGCTGCTGCACCAAGGAGTTCTCTTGGATAACTTTCGTGAGAAGCTCGGGATTGGAAGCGAAATCCTGCACGCGCTCCCTGACGCTCGGCTTGGCCAGCTCCTTCGTCAAATCCGGGTCCACACCTGAGGAACTTATTTGAGATGCACTGCTTTCATCGGCAGCGTCAAGCGTGCCAACAGTTTGTGTCATTTCCTGCAAGACCTCAGGCTCCATGCGCTCTCCTCGTCCGAAGCTCTGGAAGATCTCCATCCAGGACTCCAGTCCCTCGTGAAGGTTGCCTGAGCGCACATAATCCTCCAGACTGAAGCCCGAAGCTCCCACAGGCTCGGAACGACTCGCCGCTGCGCCTGAGCACATCGCAGCCAAGCCGACCGAAGCGAGCAGGAATCCGAAAGCCATGTCCGGAAAGAGGCTGCCGACTGGAGTGAAGACACTTGGTTTGGTCTTGGTACTGAGCCAGCAGCGGAAAATGCAAAGCCAATTCCTTAACTCGACTTCGATGGCGGCTGCTAACTCTATTGGTATAACTCATGTTGCCAGTGCTACCTTCGATTGTTCCGAATAACTACTGCACTGGTACTACCCGCTACTTTGCCTGCAAGGTGACACTTCGTGCTACTTTCTGGTACTACAGCAGCATCCGTGCCTCCCATCGTACCACTCGTCCACCACGATAACCTCCTTCACATAGAGCCTGCGGTCCTGGCTCAAACAAAGCTGTGAAATACCACAATACAACAATCAAAACAGTAAACTACAATCATCCACTACATTGCATTACTGTGTACAACAAAATAACGCAGTATAATCTACCCTAATACAGTGTGACATACCATTGTACTACCCAGAAAAGGTGCGTCCGCTTCTGCTGGTCCCTCCATTTTTGGCAGCTCCAAACCATAACCCCTAAACGCTCAACTCTAAACCCTGAACCAAATCAACTCTAAACCCTGTGTTCTCAACTCGGCACCCTAAACCCTGAACCCCTAAACTCTAAACTCAAACCCTGAACCTTGAACCTTCAACCGGCATACTCTAAACCTTAAACCCTCAACTCTAAACCCTGAACCCTATGAATCCTACGCCCTGAACCGGCTCCTTGAGGTGCTCGAAGACGGAGCTCAGCGCCTGGACTCGCTTGGCTTTCTCTCACTCTGCGATGTATACGGGGGGAAACAGGGGCTTACAGGTTCACTGGTTCTATCGGGGGTATGGTTTACGGCCTACAGTTTAGGGGTTTAAGGGTTTAGGGGTTCAGAGATTTAGGGGTTTAGGGATTTAGGGGTTTAGGGGCTTAGGGTTTAGGATGTAGGGTTTAGGGGGGTGTTGCGAGATGTTGTAGAGCTTTTGGGGTTTCATGGATTCTATGAGGCGTTGGGATTGAATCTTACAGCCCCTAAATCACTACACCATAACATGCGCACAGCCCTACTCAAACCGTTCACGCCCCTGTAGGTACCCTTTCTACATCGGCGCGGCCTTCGGTTCAGAAAGCATGTTTGGGCTCTAGCGGAACCAGCCGGAAGAGAAACTACCTTGTGAATTGTTTAGCAGATGATGGTATACTGTATTGTATAACATCATAGAAAGTTACACCATAGTATAGTATGCTATAGTATATCACAGTCTGATATACTGAATTAGCGTATATTTTATACTGTGCCAAGTATGCTTCGCAGCAAAACCTTGCTAAGAACCGCAGCTCCATTTGCGGCACCTGTCGGAACATGCCGCCATGCGCTTGCTTGGTGAAGTTCGTCAGCATGGTGATGGTCACCTGCCGAGGAGTGGGGCTGTCCCTACAACTGGTTGAAAGTGACACTTTCTTGTGGGCTTTTGGCTCATCATCTGTGTCCAGTGGTAGCAAAGGTAGTGGGAGCGGTAGCAATTGGCGTGCCCGCGCTTGTCGCCTGTCGAAAATTTGACTTGGATGGTGATGACGACGACGACGATGATGATGATGCGACTCATGTTGCTGATGTTGATGATGAAGATGATGCTAATGACGATGCTGGTGCTGACGATGACGATACCGGTGAGATGAAGACAATGACCATAAAAATCAAAATATTCATCAGAGCATGGTCATGATAATGGTAATGGCAATGGTCAAAGGGCCGGCACCCCACCGCTGCCGGGCCTGCTTCGTCGCGGAGGCGTACTCGCCGGCAGGTTGCATGCCCCGCAGAGAGCAAGACTGGCCGGTTCAGGCACAGCACTACACATGGAGCCTATCAAGAAGCACTGAACACAAAAGTAAGGAAAAACCCTATAGAACCATTTAAGGAACCCTAGACCCCAAACCCAAGCCGGTGCAACACTCTGAAAAAAGGCCTTATGGAGGTTCTGAATGTTTGCACAAGTTCTGTAAGCGTTTCAAGGATTTCAGGGTGCTTTCTTGTAGTTCCTAATCGAATGCGACGATGGGAATAAACTGGCATTGTTGCTGAAGGCTTTCTTGAAGAAGCCAGTGTTAAAGGTTCCAGGCTTCGGGATTACAGTTGGGGTCAAGTGTTTGCCCTCGTGAATCTACATACATACATAACGTACACACACATACAGACACATTCATTCATTCATTCATTCATTCGCAGCTATCCCGTGAGTTCACGAAAGATAGAGACACATACATACATACATACATACATACGTACATACATACATACAAACCTACATATATACGTGCATGCATACATACATACATGCATACATGTCTGCATACATACCTACCTACCTACATACATACATACATACCTACAATACATACATACTTGCATACATACATGCGTACATCGTACGTACATACATGCATCCATGCAAACCTTCCAAAATCCTTAAGGAATAGTGTCCAAGGTTTAAGGGCTGAAGTTTAGCATGCAAGGTTTGAGTTCAAACCGGTTGGGGTTGATGCGAGCACTCGAAAGGTTTTCGCGGTGGATGTGCTACACAATCGAAGGCGGCCGCGGTGCGGGGCGAGATGTTGGCGAGCAGGTTATGCTGCTTTGATGGGAGCCATGGACGTATGCAGGCCTTGTTTGCAAAGCGTAGCAAGTCAAATCTCGTAGGAAGATGATGAAGACAAGTGCCCGTGGGAAAACGAAGACAACGGAGTCGCGTGAAGCAGTGACCAGCAGAAACACGGCAGAGAGGGAAGCCTCAATTGCCACTACTTGGAGGTTCATGGTAGTTACAAGTGGGCCTATCAGTCCCCTAATAGGAGTTAGAATAACTTCAGTTGCCCTACCCAGACTACCCATGAACCACGTACCACAAGCCAAATCTGAAGTAAGCCGGCCCCATGCTCGGGACCCTCGATGAAAGCATGAACGTTAGGACACGCGCTGGGTTTAGGGGGTTTTTAAGGGTGCATTGGGACTTTCGCTAGGTTTAGGGTTTAGGGTGCAAGGTACTGGAAGAGTGGAAGCGAAGCAAAGCAACCCTTACGGAAGAATGTGCCCTCCACACCTCCACGGCAATCCCGAACTAACCCTCAAAACCTAAACTTCAGAATTTTTAGAGATTCCAACCTGCGTCTGTTGACTGAATCCTGATAGCAGCCCTTATAGACCCCTTTTAAAAGGAACCCTAGAAGGATCCCTTTAAAGGAACCCATCGTCGCCGTTCCGATGCCTCGGGCAGCCAGTTCGCCACCTGGAAGGGCTGTGGCTCTGAGCTCCACGACAGGCCTCGGTTTCAGCACGAATAGAGAATAGGGCTCCTTTACAAGGGTATCATAGGGCTTCCTTTGAAGGGGTCTATAATGGCGATTATAAAGATTTCGTATAGAGGGCCTTATTGCAGGGGCCTTAACAACTAGACTAGTGACTAGGGTTCCTTCAAAGGGATCCCAAAAGGGTGTCTATAAGGAATCCATAATAATTCTCTATATCATGGGCTTTAATAATTAGAATAGGGTTCCCTTAAAGGGCTTCTTTTACAGGGTTCCTTTAAAGGGATCTATAAATAGGGATCTGTATTACAGGGGCCTGCATGCTCAGACTAGGGTTTTGGGGCCCATTGAGCTGTAATCATAATAAGGAACCCCCAAAATAGTAGTGGTAATTGCTTGCTTGGAGGTTCATGGATGGGTTATAAGTGGGGTTATAAGAAGGGCAACTATACTTATAACTCCTGTTAGTGGACTTATAACCCTACTTATAACTACCCATGAACCTCCAAGTAGGCCCCCAGATTAACCATTGAGAATACAAGCATGTGGGAACTACAATGCAATGAACTTGCGACTGCACTCCAATCTATCACGAGGAGTAAGGAGAGTGTTTCAGGAGGGACAACAGGAGAGACACACGAATAAGGTGGTCTTCACCATCGTCAAAAACGAGTTCTTCAGGCCTGACTCTCGGCTCAGGCAGGGGCTGTCACCCTTCGCGGCCACTGACAGGTTGCCAAAAGATGGCCCTTGGAAGGAAAGGGACACTTCAGTCAGGCTTGGGCGGTTTTAGGGTTTAGGATTTATGGTGCACGCGGGCTTTCGAATGTAACCGCGAGCCCCCGTTATAAAGATTTCAAGGCCCTTACCATAGGGGTGTTGGGGACATTGTAGAGTTTAGGGACTTATGGATCTAAGGTGCCAGGTTGAGATGTAGAGTTTTGGAAGTTAGGGTTGAGGGATTTAGGGTACTATAGGGGCCTTAATAGTTAAAATAGGGTTTTGGGGCATGTTACACTATGATTATAATAAGGAAACCCCGAAATAGTAGAAGTAGTAGTAGTAGTAGTAGTAGTAGTAGTAGTAGTAGTAGTAGTAGTAGTACTACTAGTAGTAGTAGTAGTAGTAGTAGTAGTAGTAGTAGTAGTAGTAGTAGTAAGTAGTCAGTAGTCAGTAGTCAGTAGTCAGTAGTCAGTAGTCAGTAGTCAGTGGTCAGTGGTCAGTGGTCAGTAGTCAGTAGTCAGTAGTTAGTAGTTAGTAGTTAGCAGTTAGCAGTTAGTAGTTAGTAGTTAGTAGTTAGTAGTAGTAGTAGTAGTAGTAGTAGTAGTAGTAGTAGTAGTAGTAGTAGTAGTAGTAGTAGTAGTAGTAGTAGTAGTAGTAGTAGTAGTAGTAGCAGTAGTAGTAGTAGTAGTAGTAGTAGTAGGAAGCTTGGGCTTGGGTCTTAGGGATGTCGGCTGAAAGGTTAGGACGCAGGGGCTGAGGAATTTCTTACCTCTGGCTAGTAGGGAATGGAAGAATGGTAGTAACAGTAGTTATAATTGTACCCCATTCCTCCATTCCCTACTAACCAAAGGTAAGATTTGGGGGTGAGGGTGTGGTAGTTGAGGAGTTTGGGCTCAGGGGTCAGGGTGAGTACGGAATTCAAGTGCCAAGGCTATGAGTGGTCCGTGGGGCTTACCTTAACCCTGGATAACCTACCTTTATAGGGTTCGTTATGATTTCTACATAT